AAATATCATGATCACATTACATTGTAATACAATTGTGATATTAAACAAACACTATTGATCCCTGAAATCCTTTGTAATACCAATGCTCACTTTGTTTGGTTTTGTTGCAGTATGCCCCATGTTACGCACTGTAAAAATCAATAAAATGAAAAAAAACTCTATTAATTGAGCGTTTATAAATAAAATTGCGGAAAGATTATTCACACAGTTTGCCTGGTCATTGAACCTTTACGTTTTATAGTTTATCTAATTTCCATTGCTTGTAATAAATCAATAAAATTGATAACTTTGAAAAAATTTTTTACTAATATAAATAAAAAAACTCTTTGTTGACAGCCTATTACTATTAATTGAGTGATACAATTTGTGGAAATATTATTCCCATAGCTTACTTGTTTATTGAGCTTTACATTTTAAAGTCTAGCTAAATTTTACAAAAAAATTTTTTACTAAAAATAAATAAAAAAAACTCACCGACAGGCTATTAATTGAGTGTTTGAAAATACAATTGCGGAAATATTAATTCCCACAGCCTACTTGGTTATTGAGCCTTTATTTTAAAGTTTATCTAATCTTCGATTATTTCACTGTAAATGTTTTGATGATTAAAAAATCCGCACATAGTAATTTTCTATGTAATAATAAATACATTAATGTTGAACTGTTTGATGATCAACCACTGTATGTAACTAACCACCTACAAGAGCCAGAGTTGTTTTACAGCTTTTTTAAAGTGTAATATTACATGTATGAATTAATTTTTCAAAAAAATATATCTAATAATCCAAACAATCTGCTTTCAATTCACAACATGCATATATATTCATTCTCATTCAAATATCTTGTTAGCTTCTCAATTAGTAAAATACCATACAAATTGATCGTTACACGATATTTACAATTATTAATTGTTTGTTATACAAATATTCAGGTGATATTTTTAAAAAAAAAAATTTATCATAAAGTTTAAAAACTTCAGCTAATACATTAAAAGATAGATTACATTTAATAAGTAATTCAAGTATTTTTTTTTCTATTATTTTTACTTGTCATTTTAAGAAATGTTTATTTATTAGTTTACAAGTTTTTTTTTGCCCAAAAAAAAAAATAGTAGTCATGTCAGATAGGTATACTCGTTTAGAAAAGTTAGGTGAAGGGACTTATGCAACAGTTTATAAAGGAAGGGATCGCAGCACAAATGAAATAGTAGCTTTAAAAGAAATACATTTGGACACCGAAGAGGGTGCACCTTCAACTGCCATTCGTGAAATTTCTTTAATGAAAGAGTTAAGACATCCGAATATTGTAAAATTACTGGATGTTATTCACACAGAAAATAAGTTGATGCTTGTTTTTGAATTCATGCATCAAGATCTTAAAAAA